TAGTTGCTGTAGTTTTAATAAAAGCAGGAACTGGAAATGTGTGTCACCACTGTGGCCTAAATATCAGCATCTGAGCTTGACTAGCTGAAGTACACATGAAGCATACAGACAGGAAGTGGCTGTTGAAACCTGTTCTGAGAGTGATGCGTTGAATGAAGGTCACTAGAGAAGAGGAGCACTGTACCTTGCTGCTGTATGCAAAAGCATTTCCTCCAGGGACCAATAAACTTTATCCTATCTTACTTTCCCACCATTTCATGGCTTTCAGATTCCAATCGTACTTGGATTAACTTTGACAGTGGAGATAGTTCCTAAGGGGTATACTAAGGGGTATACTAAGGGGCATACTAAGGGGTATACTATTGCATAGCAGCTTTAAAAACAGCACTGTCCTTTCAGTTATATCTATGAAATATTTAAAATAATGTCACCTATACATTTTCTGAGCTATTGAAAAATGCATATCTGAGTCTGCCGCAATCTGAATGAAGTAATATATATCATAGAATTTTTCATTTTCAAATGTGTTCACTAGGGCTGTCACTATCGATTACATCAACATCTGAGTACTGGCTACAGCCACAAAAAAAGAACCCTACGCAGGCCACTTGTAATTTTGTTCAATATCTTGAACATCGCTTCTAATGCATTTGTCATCTGGATGGTACTGAATCCATATTGGAAGACAGCTCCAGAGATGATTCTTCAAGAACTGGTCAAGGAATTGATAAGACCTCAAATCTAGAGGAGAGTTCACATTTGCAATGCACACACAGTAAAACTCAACGCTTCATGTGGTGCATATATGCTGGAATTTGTGTTCAACTGGGCTCTTTATATCATTTCAATATACCACTGTATGTAAACTTTATCCTTTCAATTTTTTTAGTTGAAAGCAATAACAATCAGTAGGTCTGGAAACCTCATCTCGTTTATATTTGCTCAGAATTAATGATAAATTCCACTTGTGTTTTGTGATTGAATTATTGATTTCTACACAAAACAATATATTTTCCATCCATCCATTTTCTGACACCTCTTAATCCCTACTGGGGTCACGGGGGAGACCGGAGCCTATCCCGGGAACAACGGGCGCAGGTGGGAACCAACCCTGGGCAGGTGCCAACACACTGCAGATATAATACATTATCATAAGAATATTTGTTGGTGCAATTAAGGCCTGTCAAACCTGCCTTAAAAAAACAAAAACAACAACAGATTTCAAAATGCCTTTTCTTTAAGATGGAACAGTAGATTCTTATTCTTATGATAAGCGGGTGAAGATGCCTAGATTTTAAGTGTATTTGATTGAAGAGTTATCGCTATTTAATATGAAAATACATTTACAGTACAACAAACTTTGCTAAACATGGCTTTAAATTGTGAACACTGCTACCCCGAAGTGATACAATAAAGTTGTCTCAGAGGTAGGTGCTTAATCAGATTGCTTTTCGCTGACAATAGACATGTGGTCCAGCGCGAATTTTGAGCCTTACTTATCCATCAAAGCTTAATTACTACATAAATCCCAAATGGAGACAAATTGCCACCAGAAACGCTTTTTCCTGAGAGCCACATGGCAGAGAACCTGGTTGTGTCGAAATGATCACGCGATAAGTGGCCGCTACAAGTTAATTCTGGCTGGGTGCAGATGATTGCATTACCTGCCGCCACCGTCCTGGGGTCTGCGTTTCGAAAGTTGCCGCAACTACAACGAAACCAATAGATTAGGTGGTGCAGGTTTTGAAAGCAATTGGCACTGCAGCATCAAAACAAGAATTTAATCGCGAAAGCAAGATATTCATTACATACCACTGTGCACTAGATGGGGTAGAAAACACAAAAATGTTGTTAGATTTGAGAAAATTGAACTAAACAAATGCACCAAACTCAGAAATAGGTAAGTTTTTGTATGTTTTGGATGTAAGTTTTATGTTAATAAAAACAACGTTTCTAACCAATTATAACAGGTTGGAAATATTTAAACATTTGAAACATTATGTTGTATCAGACCCGTGGGGGGGTGCCTGAGCACCGGCCCGTTTTGTCCTATTTAAAGCTCACGCATAGGTTCACATTAAAGGAACCGAGTGCCCCTTTTGAACCTTTGAACACCTGCCCCTCGAAAAGTCTCAGCACAGCCCGGCGATATACGCATGATTTCAAGTAAGAATTAAAGAAACTTTTGTGTCGTTGCTCTATTCACGGCTACTCCCCAAATGATGTCATCACACCGCGCAGTTTCCACGGAGACGCGTATACTAAACATATCTGTATTCCTTTTCGTCGGATGTGCTTTCCGTTTCCATACTTCTGTTCCGTAGTAGACACATTTGAAGGTCATGGTAAGTTGCTCTTAGCTAATGGAATTATAATTGTGTAACTGTAAGCATTGCAATTCTTACCTAATGCGGTCCGTAAATGTATAACCTGTGAGGTTGCTTATTGTATGTTTACTCTTAATTTACACTACACACATACACCTATTTATAACAACCACTTATTTGGTGCGGAGGAGACCCTGAATTTGAAGTACTTACATCTTTTTGGCAGATGTCTATTTTTTAAATTGCTTGACAGACATATTATATAAAATGAAATTCCCTTAGGCATTATCAATGACATGAATGCTAAATGTGGAAATGTGTGTGTAAAGAGGTTTGCTGGGACTATGACTTGACTGTGATTTGCTCTGGCTGGTTTTGTTGCAGCCACAGAGTTTGCGGGTTAATTCTACACGGCAGTCGGGCGGCTCCCACTCACGGCGGTATCACACCCGTGCCCCCATATCGCATGTTGACGAGATGCTGTTTGGATCACCCCAAAAAGTTCAGTTTTCCACTAATGATCAAAATGATCTAATGGTTTATTCATGGGAGCATAAATTAATCTTGTGGTCTATATGATTTTTGTCAAATTATACATACAAGGTTGATGTGAAGTTTATCTGTAAATTAACCATCAGTCCAACATATTTTCCAAGATGTGTGCCCATGATGACCAGGATAAACTACACTGTTCAGGGCCAGTGCCAGTTCAGAAAAAGAAGACGCCAGAAACCATACGCATCATCACCAAAGACCTCATTCGCAGCCTGAAGTAAGTATCTGAACATTTAAGCTGCCACTCTGATGGTCTGTATGTGCCCTTGACAGAAGTTCTAGTAAATTTTAGGTTTAGTGCATACAGCAAACTGATGCATAATTACAGAATTTCCAAAGTGAATTGTTGGTCCTCTTGTTATCTGTGCTGTAATCCTTGCATCTAAGGTTATTCTATCAAAGATGTTATTCCAGAGTTCCAGGGAAGGACCCATCTGGACTATCCGTCATCCTACATCCTTCAGAAATGAACCGAATTATGGAAGAGTCTCAGACACTTAGCAAGCAGGAAAGAGGGGCCATTTTGGAAGCCAAAACTAAAGAACGGCAGAAAGCAATGGTGCGGGCATGCTGTTATGTTACTGTGCAGTACTACTGATACTACGCAAAAGCAATGGTGCGGTCATGCTGTTATGTTACTGTGCAGTACTACTGATACTACGCAAAAGCAATGGTGCGGGCGTGCTGTTATGTTACTGTGCAGTACTA